ATATTGCAGATTTTAGTTTTAAAATTAAGTTAAATTAGTAAAGCAACATATATATGCATGCAGATTTATCCTTGAAATGCATGTTTTATATGTTTTCTTACAGAATACATATATTGCATAGTATATTGAATCAAAATAGACCAATTAAGTAATGTGTTACTCTAGACAGTAAGTTACGCAGAAGAACACATTTATTTGTAGTGAACTGAAAACTGGCTTTTTCCTGTCTTCCATTATAAATATTTGAAACTTATTTTAATAGCATGATATTGAATTATTTATAATTACTTATTTTTCCTTTTAAGTTGATAGGTACTTTGATTTATTATAATTTACTTTCCTTTGTACACTTTTATGGAACTTAAATGCAGTTATCAAGTTTACATTAGAAAATAATACAGCTTTTATAATAGATTGTTATTAGAAATTTCATGTCATTTGTTACTTAGTTAAAATGCTTTTTATCCTTATAATCTTTTAACACTTGGGTGTGACTTACTGCACTGTTAGGAAGACATTCAAGTAGAGGCTATATTTACAGTGTCGTCTTTCAAATCTAGCCATGCTGTAAACTGATGTTTGCTGTATGCTCCTCCTGATTTGAAATAGATGAAAGAGAATGAACCTTTAATCACCATGGTTCACACTATGATTGAGAACTCGGCGCTAAGACCCCAACTGTACCAGCAAGTAAGGTCTTGGATAGTGAATGATACTGCTTTATCATCTGCAAAACTCCCTCAGTGACAGTTTTGGTTGTTCCCCAGATTTACTCATAACATTAATGTTTCTTTTTTTTTCTTATTTATTAATTTATTTTTGTTTGAGAAGCCACAAATCATCCATGCTTTATGAAATGCTGCAGGATTGTGAGCATGGCTTTGCTGAACGTTTTTGCTGTTGAATATGAAGTCTGTCTTTTTTCTAAAGTATTTTGTCTAACATTTGACAAATTATGTGTATTATAGGTCTCTAGTAAAATTGTAAAATTTCTAATGAACTTCAATTTGATTCCATCAATGCAAAAGCATTTCAGAAGTAATTTTAAGATGGGTTTTTCTCAATTTTTTTTTTACAGATAGTTGGTTTCTTAATTTTAATCTGTTTCTTAATCATCAAAAAAAAAAGCCCATGATTTGTTGGGTTTTGTCTTATCTAGTTTTTAATCTGGGAAATGAAATAAAAATATTTTTTAATATCAAGAAGAAAATATTATAGTATGGTAAAAATGTAAGGTGACTTTCTGATGGGAAAAACACTGTTTGGGTTGCTTTTTCTCATGTTCCTGTCATTCTCAGGTAATTCTCCAGATAGTTTTCCATTTACCATACTTTTCACACACAAATACATGTGTATGCATGTGTGTGTATCTATGTATGTATCTCTTGGGAGTAGAAGACAGCCTTAGTAATATGGCTAATCACAGATCTGCAAAAGAAGTGTTCTACCAATCTACACTCAAATTTTGTTGTATTTCACATAATTTTTAAAGTAACCAGATTTTTTTATTATGTTAGAATATTGCTGTTTATAGTTCAGTTAGAATGGCTTATTAAAATAATAATAATAATAATAATGACCTAGTAAAATCTTTAGAAATAGAAGAAAATATTGACCAACATGAAAAAAATGAAGGTAATATTTTTTAAAATATGTGATTTACATATTGAAACACTAAATTTCATATTTAGTGCAACATTATACATAATTCACAATAAAAATTAAAGCATTAAGTATTTAAATAAGCTTAATTTTCAAAACAAAGAAAATTTATTTATTCTTAGTCAGAAAGCCACCAGTTTAAAAAAACCTTGTCATCTTCAAAGACTTGCACTACAAAAACATTAATATTGCTGCTTTCTATAGAAAAACTTAAAGAGTTTTTCTGCTTCTATGTGTTTTAAACATAGGACTGGTTACTGTTTGTAGGTGTACGAAGAGGTGTGTTTCGGGGAGAGAGATGTATATGTTGGGGGCATTATGTGTATGTAAAAATTTATATTATAAGCCAGATATACATTTGGTATGGCAAAAATCATTTGCTTCCTCTTTTGGATTAGAGTTATCAGGTCATATACTATATGATACATAAGCTAAGATAATGTAATCTCTAATACTATACCTTGAATTCAGAAAGAACTATAAAAGAACATAAATTTATATAAATGGGTAAAAGATAGGGAAAGGTTATTACCTGCTTAGTATTGTAGGTACTTAGGAGACAAGATTAAAAACTAGATACTTGATGTCAGTAACCATACATATCCAATTTAATACACTAGGCAAGAAATCAATCTTAACAAATTTTAGCTCACAGGCCAAAAAGAACTTGATGTTAACACTGAGGAGTTTTAAGAAATATGAATATCATATTAGGATATGTTTCTCTAAGATTGTAAGTTTGTGGTGCTTGAAATTTGACTGTCCTCTCTTGAGCTCCAATTTTTGCCTTCTTCATGAAAGAATATCTATATGAAAACTTATGTTTTAGTTTTTATTTGCATATCTGATACTAGTTTACAGTCTTACTCATAATAAGCATCCTGGTATTTTTTGGTAGTGCCAGACCTGTGATTTCATTAGTTTTGAGTTTGTTTGATATAGAACTACCTCCACCAATGAAGATACTCAACTTTTATAGTGTTGTCTGGGTTACTGAGAGATTAACACACTTGACTTTGGTCACACAGCTAGTATGTCAGAGGCAGGATTTGAGCCCAAGTATTCCTGGATCCAAAGCCAACCCTCTAGATCCACTACATCCATCTTCATCAGTATCCTGATGTCAACCAGAAATAAAAAAGAATATTTTTTTTGTAATTCTATATCATACTTTCTTCCAAATTACATTTCCACAGCTACTTAGTTCTTACTCCACTAGAGATCCCTTTATGTTTGCATTCTTTTCTGCTCAAGAAGAGGTCTCATAGTAGATTTAATTAAGCAGGCAATAATATGCCTAAATTAAATCAATTAGCTGATGGTCTGGTAAGGACCTGAAACAAAAGTGAAAGAATGAAAATGATACATAGAAAATATTACACATTCATTATGTAATTTTCTCATTGTGTCAAGACTACATTTTTAGTGCTATCAATTAGTTTTATTCTTTTCTAATATAATGACAGGGTTTTTATTAAAAATAATGAGAAGTGTTCTATCCAAAATATGACTTTAAAACAGTAACATAAAGTACATGTACACAGAGGTACTTTAAAAGTTTTTTTCCAAAAAATTTTCATTAAACATGTTTTACTTCTGGTAATTTTATCAAATTTTAGTAATTCAGCATTAGGCTTAAACATTTGATATTTAAAATACCATCAAGATTTCAGATTAAATGTTGTTTTATGCATTTTAGGGGAGTGCTTAGAATTATATTCTTAAGTAGGGTGAAGTTGTTTTACACTTAAATTTAAATATTTAGAACAGTTTAGACATTTCATTTGGTTGGAGGCTATTATGTTCATTGAGCTTTTCAAAACAAGTTAAAGCTAAGATGATTTTTAAATATATCCATGGAGTATGAACTATATTTTAAAATAAAATTTCTGCATGGTTTAATATAACCACACCCGCCTTTAAATTATCACAAAATGCATTTGCAGATAATTCATAGAGTAATACCTCAAAATGAAACCTTTCCATCTTTAAAGGTTTTTTTAATTATACTGTGTTTAGAAATATGTTATATATAAACATATATGTATATATAGCTACACGTGTGTGTATATGTGTATGTTTAACTTTCCAGTAATCTTTGAGTTTAAATAAAAGTACTCTGATTTCAAACAGATTATTAAGTAAAATGTCAGTGTCAACTAATACTTGCTATGGAAAGTGTCATATAGAGTGATATTAGTTGTAATCTGTGTTTATATAACATAAAATACTTGACATTTTGTCATCTGATGTGATCCTCACAATTACGTTGTGGAGTAGGAATACAAGTATTCCCATTTTTCAAGTGTGAAAACATATAGTTAAGAAGTGGTGGAGCTGTTCTTCTAATTCCAAGTGCTCTTTTCATTATGTTACACTGTCTTTTATTGTAGTTTTGACGTACATACGTGTGGTTCTGCATATGTGTGTGAAACTTATTTTGTTACTTGTAGCAGAATTCAGTTGTACTTCATAGTCAAAACATAATTCCACTAAAATGGGTAATTCAAAAAGATAAATGAGATATTGAGACATCCCTTTTCTCAAAGACGATCACCTTTTCTTTTGTGTATAAAGAAAGAAATTAAAATCGTTAAAAAGTCCTATTTGATAAGAAATCACATTTAATTTTAAAAAAAATACTAGTGGTTATGAGAGCTTGTTTGTGCAAAAATATTGTGATGAAAACCACTTAAAAGGCAACTAAGAAAAAAAATCTAAATGTGCAATACCTTAGAACTATGCTAATACAGCACTTGCTCCATAATATAAAATATATAAAGAAATTTTAGATTCTCTACCTTCTGAATCTTGAGTTTCAGATTGACAAAGGAAAGGAGTCAATTTTCTTCCTGATATTTCTGGTACATTTATTTACAAAATAGATATTAGGTGCTTTTTACACACAGAATTATACTAAAATATATAAGACATTCATGAGTATATGTACATAAAATACATGTGTCTGTGTGTCAAAAATATATCCTTTTCAACCTGAAGTCATTAAACCTGATTGAAGTCTTTTATTCTAGTTCTCTGCTATGATTATGCTTTTCTTATTTTGTGAGATAGTACACATGCCTAATAAACACAACTTTAAGAATATATTCTCTTAAAGCTTACATGAAAATATTAAATTATTAATTTTATATATCTTTTCCTTTTTGAAGCAATCCATGCTTGATAAATGTCTGTTCGGTGAAGTCAGAACTTGTCTCCCCATAAATTGTTACTGGTCATATAGATGATAAGTGTATTTTAACTGTTGACTACATTCTAAACATTTTCATTCTTTTATTTTTGAAGCTGTTTTATGACGATAATATTCTTCCTTATAGCTGTCACAAGATGAGTATAGAGGTACATTGTACAAGTACAGATCTGAGGAGGTGGATATTGATGTAAGTATCAATATGACATTTATCACTGATGTTTTTACCATACTTGTCTTGCCAGAGCATTTTACATAAGCACAGAAAGTATATGCCTCCTCACTCTATCCCATCCCACTCCCTGCTAAAAAAATGTTATTGATTGTTGGTAAATTAGCTTTTTCACTATTCTGTGGCTTAAATCTTTACACTCCTGAGTTGGTTAACAATGATGATGATATACAGAGATTTGCTCTTTGCTAAGAGTAGAAAGCTATGTCCAATAGTGTATTTTCAAGATGGGGAAAGAAAAAAATGGAAATAACCCATTTTCCAATCACTGCTCTTCAAATTCCATTATCATTTCCCTTTTGGATCCCAGATTTAGACAAGTAATCACCTGTAAGGTCCCTGAGTTGCTACTCTGTCTTTGCAGTTCATCTCTTATGAGTTTATTCCATAACTTTGCTCTAGTCAAGCATACTTAGAATAACAGATTGTTATAGCTGGAAGGTACCTTATTTTACAGATAAGTAGACCTGAGCTGAGAGTCTGAGACAAGATTAACTTGCCTAAGGTCACACAGAGGCAGAATTGAAGCCATAATGCAGGTCTCCTGACTCCCAGCCCAGTGTATTTTCTATCTCAACTTATTTCTCTATTCAGTACATCCAACTACATGTATTTAAATTATCAGATTCTCTTTAAAAGTTTCAATAGTAAATGGCAGAGAAATTGATTTTTACCTTTGCACCTTTACTTCATTATTCAATAACTGTTTTTCATTATAAGGAGTTATGGACTTGGAATAATTCTCTTTATTTGTATTATATCTGAGGTTTGGGTTCTGAGACATCAAAGCAAATATATTTTGATACTTTAAATTTTTTTCCAAGGCTTTAACTTTGATTTTCAATCAAGTTTATTTTGACAAAGTTTAAAGTGACTTCTAACATTTTCCATGTGGTTAGGATGAAAAAGGTTATATGAAAAAATTAAAACTGTGTCCTAAATTATAACCTAAGGCTTAAACTAATAAAATATGTGCATTAATGTTTGAAATGGCTACTTTCTGTAGATTTTACTGTTATGTTAAAAATAATTCTGTGTTTGGATTTTTCCTAAGGATTTATGAGGAATTAATGTGAATCAAATTCAGGTAGTGTTTTGTATTAAGGATTACATAAAATGTTTGGTCTTGTAAAATATAAAATTTGAAATTAACAACATTTAAATGGGTAATTAAAGTGATGTGTGAGTGTTTTACTTCATTATATTTGTATTTGCATAATTTGGATTTACCTTAATGGTAAATTAAGTATTGAAGTGTAATTTAAATAGCCTAGTTATCGCTACAGTTTTTGGTTAGCTTTTTGTCTCTGTAGCCTTTGGGGGCAGGAGGGTGTGTGTGGGAAGGAGTGGGGAAACCTGCTCTAGGTCCTGGGGTGTGGCCTTTTGACTGAGTCCAAATATTACACAACAAATCCTTTTATTAAGGGGATTTGTTCTGTGAAGTTTGGATTCAGTCAAAGGGCAGCACTTGAGGACCTAGAAAGCCACGTGTAGAGGCTGCAGGTTCCCCACCCCTGGATTACAGGCAAAACTGTGCCCCTGTCTTTTTTCATTAGATTGGGTACCTCGTTTTTAAATCATAGTCTCATTGTTGCCTGAGGGCACTGATAGTTTATAACTCACCCACAGACACACAACTAGTATGTGTGAGAAACGGGACTTGAACCTAGATTTTTCTAATGCCACAGTTGACTGTATCTACTGAACTATACTGCCTCTTCTTTGCAGACAGTTTTTTTAGTCCAAACTGCGGTTTTCATTTGGTGTAGGGAACTCCCTGTGAGTAAACTTCCTCTATCAACACAAGATTTACAACTGTTCTGTAGTTTATAACCTAGAGTTGCCTGGGATACTGAGAATGTAAGTGATTTGCCCAGAGTATGTCAGAGGCAGACTTGAGAACCAGGTCTTCTGACTGACAGCTTTCTCTGCACCACTCTAAGCTGCCTTGATTTGTCTGCAGAAATATTGATTTGAAAATATCTCTTTAGTCTTCTTCCTATGTCTTATTTTAATTTCAGTCCACATTTATTTAAATCATTTAATTAAAAATTGGGTGATTATTTTAAATGTACATTGTCAGCTCTTAAAGCAAAAATGAAAAGTACTGCTAACCATGGACGTTTTCTTTTATTAACCTAGGCCAAACTAAGCAGATTATGTGAACAAGATAAAGTGGTACATGCATTGGAAGAGAAACTTCAGCAGCTCCACAAGGAGAAAGTAGGGCAATTATGTTTATTACCTAAAATTAATGTTATTTTATTTGATTATTATCAGGGCAGTGATAACTTAAGTAAAAAGACTATATTCAGTAATTCAGAATATTAAACATAATTCTTTTTATTGTAATAGTACATGCTTGAGCAAGCTTTGCTATCAGCCAGCCAAGAAATAGAGATGAATGCAGATAATCCAGCAGCCATTCAGAGTGTAGTTTTGCAAAGGGATGATTTACAGAATGGACTACTTAGCACATGCCGAGAACTATCTCGAGCTACAGCGGTAAGTCAATTTTTTTTTTCTTATAAAAATCATTAAAGTTTCAATTCTTGTTGTTTTTACTTCTAGTTGGAATATTCATTTTTAGCATAAGAAGCAAATATTAAGTTGCATGACATTAATGTAAACATTATCTTGGAACAATGAAGAATAAATTTTTAATCTTAAAATCAGTAATGTCTTTTATTTGCCAAAAGAATTATCTTACCAAACGATAAGCGCATAGATATTTTATAGACTTTGAAAGTAAAAATCTGGGGCAGCTAGGTGGTGCAGTGGATAGAGCACTGGCCCTGAAGTCAGGAGGACCTGAGTTCAAATATGGCCTCAGGCCAAACACTTGACACTTACTAGCTGTGTGACCCTGGGCAAGTCACTTAACCTCAACTGCCTTAAAAAAAAAAAAAGTAAAAATCTTAAGAGGCATGTATTATGGGGCACATTCCATAATACAGTTAAATATGTAGTAGATTTTTATTTGATTCCATTGACTAATTCTAGGTAAAACAAATAAGCAGAACTTGCACGTTACCAGTTTTGAATTCTAAAGAAAAAATTCCAGAGTATTTATTATCTAGAAGTTTCTGATAATTTTTTACATAGGGCAGCTAGGTGGTGCAGTGGATAAAGCACTGGCCCTGGAGTCAGGAGGACCTGAGTTCAAATCCAGCTTCAGACACTTGACACTTAACTAGTTGTATAACCCTGAGTAAGTCACTTAACCCCATTGCCTAGCCAAAGTAAGAAAAATAATTTTTCTACAATTATCATGGCAAATTAATAAAACCAGGATTCTTGACAGAGCTCCAAACCTAACAATGGTTACTCAAGTCCTGAGAGTATAGTTATATGTAACTGCCATATTCTTTGGCACTTAAGCATGTTACTCAGAGAACTCTTGGTGTTGTTTCCTGTGCACATTTATCAGTTAATCTAATAGCCTTTTCTTAGGCCTCCTCCTTTTGACCTCTTCTGTATTCACCATTCTTCACCAGCCTTTTCTCTTCATAGATCTGCTCTCTTGGCTATCCTCCCATCTGTCTGACTGCACTTGTCCTCAATACATTTGGTTTTAAATGAAAGAAATGACATAGTCAGGGCTTTGCCTTAGGAAGATTCTTTTGGTAGCTAAGTAAAGGGTGGATGTAGAAAGGAGAGATAAATGGTGAAGAGACCAGTTAGGAAACTATCACAAGTAATCCAGACTACTAGTGATGAGGATATGTATGAAGGTAGCTAATTGAAGAAAAATTTTTGTATGTGATATATTGTGGCAGTAAAATCATTAGGACTTACTTTGCAGCAGGTTAGACATATAATATAAGGAAGGGAAAAGTCAGAGATGACACTAAGGTTTTGAAACTGAGTGACTGGGGCAACTAGGTGGTGCAGTGGATAGAGCACCAGCCCTGAAGTCAGGAGGACCTGAGTTCAAATCCAGCCTCAGACCAAACACTTGACATTTACTAGCTATGTGACCCTGGGCAATTAACATTGCCTAACAAAATACAAAAAAAAAGAAAGAAAAACCCCAGCTCCAGATTACTCCCACCATCTGCATCCTTCTCTTAAGGAAGCTCAGGGAAGTCTTACAAATCATTGGGTATACCATTGAGTATGTCTAGAAGATTGATTATGAAGCCTCCTTCCTTTCTGACAGAGAGGTGATGGACTGAAGATGCTCAGTGAGACTGAAATTTTCACACAGCTGAAATTACAGGACACCCACCCCACTTCAACCCCCCAAAAAAAAATTTAAAAAGGAAAAAAAAAATAATCTGTCTTTTAGGAAAACGTGCCAAAATTTTCTCAAACATTGAAAATGAAGAAAATTGCAAGTTGATAGGATTCACTGACATAGGTGATCTCCACCTTCAGTTCATCCAATCACATTGTTGTCAGACTTCCATACTAAGATGACAAAATCATTTTTAAATACATAGGCAGAAAGACATCCCAGATCTGAAAAAATGGAAATTAATCACATAATTACATAATACTTTTCTATAAATTTAAGAAATTATCAAAAATATAATATGATATATTGAAAATTTAGAGAAAGGGAACTTCGTCTTCCAAATCAGCTTTTAGTAAAGATAAATATCTTTTTCAGGTAAAAAAGAAGTTACTTGTATTAGTTTGAAGAGTTTGTGGAAGGGCAGAGTCAACTTTTAATTTTCAGAGTTAAAAGCACAGATGAGATATTACATATAGGAAACAAGGTAGCCCAGATAATCTGGAGCCAAATTGTGAAGGGCCAAGTTGAAGTTTTCATTTTATCCGCAAGGCAACAGGGAGCCCTGGAAGTTTTTGAGTATGTAGTGGAATGGTACTTGTGCCTTAGGAACTTTTTTGTAACTCTTCTGGAAGATACCTCTGAAACTGCTCTGCTTTTCACCAGATTTTCTCCATCATGTCATAGAAATTTCTTCACCCTAGAAATTCCCTCTTCTCCTGGACTATCTCTCACACTCAAAGTAACCGCTGCCCCAAAGTCCTTCTTCTTCTGATTAACTGATTCCTCCTAGAACCTCTAATTTATGGTGAGGTCTGGACTAATCCTGGCTTCATTTCTTTCGAAACCGCACTGCTCCTCCTTAGGAAAACTCTCCCTGCCCCTCTCCTCCTTCCAGTTCCCCACATTAGAATGTAAACTTCTCCAAGACTGGCACTGTCTTTCTGCTTTTTTCCCCCCAAAAGTTTAGCACCTTGCCTGGCATTTAGTGATTGCTTAATAAATACTTATTGACTGATTAACAGAGGAGAGAGTCTGGAAGCAAGAAGATCAATAAGGAACCTATTAAAATAATTTGGGCATTAATGACAATAGAGACTGTGTATATAGAGTGAGTAGGTGATTAAAAAATGATATGATGGTAGAATGAACAAGATTTGACAACCAATTAGTATGTGGCAATAATATCCTTAAGAGAAAAAGGGAAATTGGCGAGAAAGGTGGATTTAGTGGGAAAATAATGAGTTTTGAGATTATTGTAGGACATCCAGGTGGCTTATCCAACAGGCAGTGATGATAAAGGACTGGAACCCAGGAACAAGATGAGGGCTAAAAGTGCAGATTTTGGAGTCATCTTAATAGTGAATTTCTTTGAATTCATGAATCATCAAAGACAGTTCAGTGTTATAATGTTTATGCCTTCTTAAAACTTTCCGTTATCTTCTACTTTAACTTCCCATTCATCTACTTTTAATATCTTTTCCCATTATGCCTATCACTCTGACACTTGTTAAGGAACAACAGAGCCTAGGGTGAGGAAGACTCATCTTCCTAAGTTCAAATCAGGCTTCAAATCATACTAGCTGTGGAATCTTGGGCAAATCACTTGCCTCGGTTGTTCATCTGTGAAATGAACTGGAGAAGGAAATAGCAAACCAGTCCAGTATCTTTACCAAGAAAACCCCAGAGGGAGTCCCAGAGAGTCAGACACAACTGAAATGACTGAACAAATTTTGCACAGTTAATACAATAATATTCTGTGAGGTTTATAAGAGAAGTTCAATAAATCTTTATACTCAGAGGCAACATCATAAGAAAATGCTTTTCCCTGTTAAAGTAATAAATGCTGGTTGTCATGTTTTCAGGAACTAGAAAGAGCATGGCGAGAATATGACAAATTAGAATATGATGTAACAATTACGAGGAACCAGATGCAAGAACAGTTGGATCGACTTGGTGAAGTACAGGTACGAAATTTTAATCTTCTCAAATTCTTTTCAGCCTTCTGGTTATACTTTGATATCAAACAATTTCAAGTTGTTATACTGATAAGAGATCAAGTCCAAAATGAACTGCTTAAAAGTCAGGTCAGAATTGATTTCCTTTTGACCATAGGCTATTGTAAAACATGCCAGTAACAGGTGCAGTATCTATCCTCTATTTTATTGCTTATCTATTAAAAAAAAATTGACATTGACAGAATTCCAAGTAGAAGAAAGATTCATTGTTTTTTAAAAGTTGTTATTGAATTGGTTGGTGTGGGTAAGTACTTAGGACTGCAAAAAGACCTGAAGTGTGATGAAACTACATATCTGGACTCCCCCAAACCCAAGCTCTAAATTAACCACACACTTGCCAGAATCACCCTAAAGAAGTCACTCCACAGGACTTAAAATGTACTTCTCTGTTGTTATCTTTTGTTTAGTGACTATTTGTGTTTGTGGTTGAATTTTAAGTTTGGCCACATGTGTCTTTACCTGGTGTGATAGGAGAAGCAGACTAAAAGAGGTGACAATGACATTAACAAGTTTGAGATATAGTTAGTGAATGTTTGCTTTGCAAGTAACAGAAATAACAGAAATCCTTCTTCTGAAGACTATTCTTGATTTCCTTCAACACCCCACTCCCACCATCACCACCATTTATTGGTTCTCATTCCTCTTGAAATGGATTTGTCTACATGTATATTGTCTCTAGAATGTAAGATCCTTGAGGGCAGGTACTATTTCGTTTTGACTTTCTTTTCCCAGTGCTGAGTGTTTTAAAACGTTTATTGAATTGTTGGATTTCCTGACTGGGTTTTTCCTCTATTACATGCCTTATCATGTTTTAGAACTTAAAAAGTTAACCGTATATTGTCATTCTTTTTTTTTAATTTAGTTTAATTTTGTTTTTTTCTTTTAGTAGAGTGTTTCTCTGCTCATTTTTAGCCCCTTATGTACCTTCCTGTCATCATAAAAGATGGCATGATAACTCAGTGGCATATAAATAATACTATGGGTTAAGAGATATAACTTAATATTTTAATTTCAAGTTTCCCACATATGAATTAATACATATTATCATTATTAATAGACGGAGTCAGCAGGCATTCAGCGTGCACAGATTCAGAAAGAACTTTGGAGAATTCAGGATGTCATGGAAGGTTTGAATAAACATAAACAGCAGCGAGGCACCACAGAGGCTGGTAAAGAGACTTCTTTTATCTTTTATTAGCTGACATTTGGCCATAGTTACATCTAAAACGAATGGAACGTGTGATTGCGTTTCATTAACTTAGTTGGCAAGTCACTAGAAGCACAAATATGACTAAATGTAAGTAAATGAGTAGCATGACATTATTTTCTTTTTCCTCTAGATTCAAAAAAATTTTCTAATTAGTTTTAATAGTGATACATTCTAATTTTTAAAAATTATTTTAATAGGTATCATAGGATCAAAGGCTTTTTCTGCAGTTAAGTACAAAAGTGAGGTAAGATGTTTGCTGTTTTAATTTCTAAATGCAAATTGATGTATTTCTAACCTTAAAGAATGAATAAAAAGAAATCAAATATTTTCCACACTTTAACAGAAATAAGTTTTAAGTGGTTTTAAATATGTTCCACTCAGGTTATTGTGTTAATCTTGAAGTTACAATGGGCATTACAAGAGTAATGTTTAAAGCTACATTGATGATTTCTTATTTATAACAACTAATGAGTCCCCTTCTCACTCCCAAACCTTAAACTGGAAAAATTGAATCTGGGTTGGTTCATGCATTTCAGAATTTGACAGGCAGGATTTTACTTCTTGGTCATCTAAATGTACTAAATTTCACTCTTGTATGGTAAGCACTTATCTGTGTCTTAAGAGGTTTTGTAAGAGCAAGTTTTATGCATAACATAAAAAAATTATAACTATAAAGAGATACTGTCAACATAATTAAAATAGCTTCCAATTTTGATTCCAATGAGGGGAAATGCTTGGTATCATTTCTTTTTAAAATCTAATATGAATACAACATTTTACAAAGTTTTAAACTAAAACTTTTTCCTGATATTTTCGTACCTAAATAGCAACATTTTTATATACAGTGATCCTTTGGACTTATAATAGAATTTTAAATGGAATGCAGATACAAAAAGTGCTAACCTCAGTGGTCCAAAGCAAACTAGATACTGTTTCAAACTCAATTTGACTCAGTGAATATCATGACCTTTTTGTTTTATTTCTTTACATATGATTTTGACAGTGTCCCTTTCATTATCTAAGGTTTATGAGACATAGTATACATTTTTAAAGCTAAGCTGCTATTGAAAAGTTTGTTAGATATTCTTAACACAATATGCTCATCTAAATAAGGTGACTATTCTACAATCTTTAGGAAGAGGAAGTAGTCCCACCTCGTCCTCCACTTCCTTGGTCCTATGACTTTACAGAGCAGCCTCCCATAATCCCCCCTCTGCCCAGTGATAGCAGCTCCTTGCTCTGTTATAGCAGGGGCCCAGTACATCTGCCTGAAGAAAAGAAGATTTACCAAGTTCAAGGATATCCAAGAAATGGCTCTCACTGTGTAAGTGGCTAGAATTGCCACAGAATTTTACATCACAAATATCTTCTTGATTTTTCATAATCATTTTCTTTTGCTATTGAAGAATTGTTTTGTATTGTAATCTTCTTTTGACTAGTACTTTTTGTTGCTTTCCATGTTATCATTTTCATATGTTACATTTTTGTTTTTTCATACTTGTGTACTTAAAATTTTTTAAATATGGAAAAGTGTAATTTAATATTAATTATTAAATTAATATAAATTAATATTATATTATTATAACATGAAGAGACTAGATTTAAAATAGATTAATGTGGGACAGGGGGATCATGCCTGCTAATTTTTTCTGTCCTCAGACCAGAAAATAAAAGGTGGAAAGTAGAATTACTGGTAGCCAGGATAATTAAAGATGAGATTCAGTCTATAAAAGTAAGACTTGATAAGCAGGGAGAAAGGATCAGCAAAAGAAGAAAAGGAATATAAACCAGTGGGGGGCAAAACATCAAAGGAATTTTAGTTATGAGAATTTGAAATGTAAGACTTTCCTAGCATATATAGCATCTGATTACCTTTTAAAATGGATGAGATAATTTAATACAGTTCAGTCACTGCTCTTAAAATATATGTAATGCCAAACAGTCTGGTGGTCATGATGAAAATAAAATATTTATTTTAATTTCAAAACAAAAAGCTTAGAAGATATAAATTTTAATCTTCCTTCATATTTGTTTTCCTTTACTTTACATATAGATTCTCACAAGTATTTTGTCTAAAACAGTTCCTGTTTAAAAATTCTGAGGGGGGGAGAGGATTAGCAACCTCATATACCAAATTTAATTTGAGATTTCATAAATTAATAACATGGGAAAATTTTAGTCATTTTTAATCTACATTTTTTCCTCTCTTTAAAGGGTCCTGATTATAGACTTTACAAGAGTGAACCAGAATTAACAACTGTAGCAGAAGTTGATGAATCTAATGGAGAAGAAAAGTCTGAACCTGTTTCAGAGATAGATTCTGTAACTAAAGGTCAGCTTTTAACTTTTATATAGTAATATCCATGTAATCTTCAGTACTAATGGAAGTTTCCTTATTAATCCTGGTGTCACTTACATTATTAGTTTTTGTCTTTATAGTTTAAAGCTAAAAAGTCTATACAATCTTAAAAATTTTAACTTAAGTACAAAAAATACTTAGTAACACTAGTTTTAGAAGTTATTTTAAGTATTTTTCCATTCTCTGACATAAAACATTTAGTCATATTTTTATTAGCATCTCCAGGTCTTTAAGTTCAACTCTGGAAACTTTTTTTAAGGATACGGCTAGAGAGGACAATGAAATAGATAAATGAGGAAATAAGGTGGCATATTTCAAATTCCCAAGTAATCTCTTTTTGAAATGTTATAATGACTGTCTCGTTTTTCTACTTTTTTCTCTAGAATTATGTCTTTTAATATTTCAGTAATGGGGTTCCCCCCCCCACCATGTAGTAGATGTGTGGTTTTAAAATGAAAAAATAATGCTTAGAAAATAGTCTAATATGGCTATCTACCATCTCTACATCATAGGTAACTCCGTCTTACAAATTACAATTTTTTGTGAGAGAGGATTTTAGTTGAAAGTATATTCTACCCAAATATAAATAGTTTCTTAATACCCAAGCTCCCAGCAAAAGCATTGTTTCTTTCTCCGCATTGTATTGTGCTCGTTGATCAGCAACCATGAATAAAGAGGCTTCAGTCTTCTAGGAGTTTATGACACTGTTGCACACAAGGAATCATTAAACTTTATGTAAATAAGTAAACTATTTCCCATTAAAGTAAGAGATAAATCATTTACTGGATGGAGCTTGGAGAAGAGGTTGTCATATTGATTAAATGAGGAGTGAAGGAAATTCCTACTAATTAGGGAAGGCATCAAAAAATTTAAAGTAAAGTACCCCAAAAATTGTATGTTTGTACCCCATTCCATTCTTGTTTCTGACTCCTATGTAATCATAATAATCTATCTATCCTGAGGTATATGTAATGCCAAATATTACTCATTTAGTTTTCCAAGTTTAAAAATTATCTAATAAGTGACTGTAGAAGGTTGATTTAACTCAAATACAGTGAGGTTTCCTTAACTTTAAGAAAAGAAAGAAAGAAAAAGTTTATGTCTTCATTCTTCAGAATGCTAAAAAGGGTCCATGACCAAAAAAGAAGACAAAGAACCCCATTCTAAGTCTTCAGTGTTCTGGAGAATGTTCCTTATGCAATATAAATTGATTCTAAATAATAGGACATATGTTACACATTTCTGCTCCACAACTTCAGAATCATTTAACCCAAAAAACAGTGGTCAGAAGAAAATAAGTCAGTAACAATTTAAGATTATTTTAGAGATTAGTTGTGATTCTCCATGAAGTAGTCTCCTGACCCTGCACTTGTGGAAAGTACAATTCTGCTTATCCAAGATGTAGGTTGCAAAGAGAGTGACACTTATCCAAGTTCCTTGAGTTTCTAATGGTTTAATGAATGACTATCTAAAATGTATTTTAGTCCATTAATAGATTTCATGTTCAATATTGGACAACAGAGAACTTGGAGATATCACTTAACTCCTCAAGATGTCAATTTCCTCATCGCTCCCAAATTCCAGACAGACCATGCCATCAAATTAATTCTGTGACCTAAAGAAAGTCACAACCTCTTTGTGTTACAAATTCCATATATAAACAATAAGTAGAATACTACTTAGTCTGTTGTAGAGAGTTTTCGTGAGGATAAAAAAAAGGCAATATATAATATTTCAAAAAGCACTTTTAAAAGTATATATAGATGTTAATTGATGCTGTTATTGTTATGTAATTGATGTTCTTTGAAATAAAAATTAGTAATGATGGCAGGTGCTATCTGCTTTTTTAAAAATGCAGTAACTACTTTTAAATAAAAAATCCTAATTTAACCAATTTAATACAAAGAGAAAATAAGGCATCAGATTTTTTTATGCCTCCTATTAATGTCACCAGCTAATTTGCTTTTAATTTAGCCCTAAATTATATCACTATCATTGGCTAATGAAATAGATAAAATAGTGTATTGCTACTGCATTTTTCTTGTCTTTTTTCAGCCAGATCTGGCTTGGAGTATTTTAAAATGAAAAGAAATTCTAATATTACAAAGAAAAATGTAAATTTTTATGATAGGTGCTTTGTAGGAATTGCTGCTATTTGGTTTTTTTTTAGGTTCACATTTTCCTGTTGGAGTTGTACCTCCCAGAACCAAATCACCAATGCCTGAGTCTTCAACAATAGCCTCTTACGTAACCTTAAGGAAAACTAAGAAGATGATTGATACAAGAACGGTATTTAAAAACTATTAATTAACAGAAAAAAATTCACAGAACATAAAAATTAAGTTTCTGTTTCTCTGGTTTCATGGAGAAATTTTCATATATAACCAAGATAAAGCTTATCATTCTTAGTTTAAAAAAAAAATACCCATAGTTATTTCTGAATTAGGATCAAACCATTATCCATTCAAGAGAATGTGAGCCTCTCAGTATATTTCAGTATCTAATTGCTACCATATACCCCAGTCTGCATCCTGAGGCCAATTTAGACCTCCCTGAGGCTTTCATGACTAATAAGGGTTCCTCTAAGGTCAAATAGCTTTTTCCAATAGCCGTTCTTAGAAGTTCACCATAAACACTGACCATTCTAAAGTTCTGCAGAATAAATTTGAGGAAAGAAAATCCCAGAGACCTAGAGTTTGCATAGTAGATAAGGACCCACTTCAATCCTGTGAACTGACGCATATGCTGATACGAGTCTAGGGAGACCCACAATTTGATAATACCAAACTAAACTCCACAGGCCCTCTAGAGGCTCCAAAAGCGCCTAGTTCAGGCCAGGATGGAAGCCTTCCCTCGGAAAAAATCAGTCTGATACTTAGCTATTGTTTTATTATGTAAAAAAATACATGATTGTAAAATGCTTTGTTTCAATTATTGGAGTTCTAATCAAGAACTTGTAAGATGATAGATTTTAAATTATATCTGAATTGTCTTTTTAAGATAGATTCTAATATTGATGATATATGTATATGTAATTGATGAGATAAATCATCATGTTCACGTATGTAATGTAGGTTTATGGTATGATTTCCTTTATTTTTTGTCATAAGGAGGAAAATTACCTTAGGTTTATAGAATCACAGACTGAAAATTGGAAGGAAACTTAGAGGACTTCTAGTCAACCTGGCCCTGACCAAGAATCCCTTCTACAACATAACCACGAAGTTCTTATCCATACTTCACTGGAAAACTTGAAGTGAAGGGAATCTCCTAATTATACTTTTTAATAGCTCTGATTTTTATGGCAATCTTAAAGCTAAAACATTTCCTTTGCTTGATCCAAGTTCTATACTCTAAGCTAAGCAAAACAAGTCTTAATTTCTCTTCCACATTACAGCCCTTTAGATACTTAAAGGTGTTTCGATTAGTCCTCATTTGTCATGATCTCTGATTCCCTTACCCCTTGGTTACTATCCTCTGGAAGCATTCTAATTATTTATATTTTTAATATGGTTCCCAAATCTGTATACAGTACTTCACATATGGTTTTACCAAGGAAAAGAACAGCAGGGCTATTACTTCCTTTTTATTGGACAAGATCTGTCCCTTAATGCAATAAGAGACAGGACACTCTATTCCTGTAGAGCTTGCATTCCACTAAAATTCTCCACATCTTTTTCATACAAATTGCTGTGTAACCACACCTCTTCCATCTTACATATGCAAAGTTAATTCTTTGATCATTTGTTTTTGATTCAGTCCATTGTTCTTATATTTGGAAGCCTTTTTGTATCTTGGACTGTCATCCATCATGTTAGCAGTCCTCCCAGATTTTACATCATCTACAGATTTTATCTATCATTTCAAGCCATTGAAGACAGTCATTACATGTTTTATTAAAAAAAAGAGAGAGAGAGAGACTAAGTACTTATCTCTAGGGCAGTAGTGTCAAACTCAAATGGAAACTGTACATATAAGGATCCCTGCAGGCCACATATTGACTGAAAAACCAGATATTAACGTTGTCTATATTCTGTTATATTTAATGATCCTCACTGAGGAGTGTTGTAGGCCACATGTTTGACACCTCTGCGTTAGGACACTCCACTAGGGACCTCTTTGCTATTGATTTCAAACCATTAATGATTATTCTTTTGCTCTAGTTATTCAATTAGTTCTGAATCCCACTGTCATCTAGCCTGTATTTATCTATCTTGTCTACAAAATTACCATGAGGGGTTTTGTCAAACACTTCACAAAAAATCTACGTAAGCACTAACTATAGCATTCTCCTATTATAACAGTCCAGAAAACATTTTGTTTTTTTACAACACAATTATTTCTCTATATATTTTCTTTTGCTCATACCCTGCCAAGAGATAGCCAGGTAGCACAGTGAATTGAATGTTGGAATCAAGAAGACCTAAGTTCAAGAATGGCCTCAGGCGCTTACTAGCCCTGTGACCCTGGGCAAGTCACTTAACCTCTGGCTGCCTCAGATTCCTTAACTGATTGAGATAATAATAATAATACCAACCTCACAGAGTTATTGTGAGGATCAAATGAGATGATTTTTTTTTTTTTTTTTTGCTTTTTGGTGAGGTGATCGGGGTTAAGTGACTTGCCCAGGGTCACACAGCTAGTAAGTGTTACGTGTCTGAGGCTAGATTTGAACTCAGGTCCTCTTGACTCCAAGGCCAGAGCTCTATTCACTGCGCCACCTAGCTGCCCCACGATGATATTTTCAAGGTGCATATCCGTAATACTTGGCACATAGTAGGTGCTAAATAAATGTTTCTTCTCTTCTCTCTCAAATCCCTCCTTTGTAACCAAAAGAAAGTTAAGCAAAAACTACCATGGTATTGATAGCTATACAACATTTGGCACCTCTACCTTTCTAGGGAGGTCTTTTCATCTTACATCCTTTGTAGCCAGTACTGGGCTTGTGATAAGCCATGCCATCTTTCACATTCACCATTTCTTTTACTGCATGTTTACTGACCTCTCTAATAATTTGTTTTAGAACTTTATCAGGAATGAAACTTAAGTTCACAATGTATACCTTGTAGATTTTGCAACCTTTCCTTATTAAAAAGTTTGTTTTCCACATAATAGGTGCTTAATAAATGCTTGTTGATTTGAATGGAATGTAAAACAAAGACAGTCTTTGTCCATCTGTAGTCCTCTTGGACCTCTCCCATTCTCTGACTTTTCAGAGGCCAAATACAGGAGCTCAGGAATGATATCCACCTATTCTTTCAGTAACCTGGGATGTATTTCATTCAGGTTTGGTGACTTACTAATTTTGGGCAACTTGCTGCTCTCTTACTATCTCCTTACTTACCTTGACTGTCGGTACCCTGTTTCCCATTTTATAATTTCCAGGATTAGAATAATGAAATTCCCACATAATAATTCTTGGGGTTATGAAATTGAAATACACATAAAATATAGTGAATAGTAAGTAAGAGATAGTCTGCCTGTAATAAATAAGTTTATAAAGACCTTTACATACATTATCTCATTTGATCCTCACGACCTGTGAGGTAGTTTACTAGTGTTATTCCCATTATACTGATGAAGAAACTGAGGTTCAGAGAGGCTATGTGGCTTACCCACTGCCAACAAGCCAGCAGGTGTCTGAATCATTCTATACGTTACACCACAGTTCCTCTGTATCATATAGAAAAAGATGCTCCAGAAACATGAAGTTTCATAAAATAGTAAACATTTGTTAAGTGTCTACTATGTGCAAGAACTCTTCTAAATGCTCAGGATACAAGGTAAGGCAAAAGATAGTTCCTGCCCTCAAGGAGCTTACAATCCAATGGAGAAGACAATATGCAAACAAATATACACAAATAAGCTCTATACAAGATAAATAGGAACTTATTAACAGTGAGAATACAGTAGAATGAAGAGGGATTGGGAAAGATGTAGAAAATGGTATTTTACTTGGATCTTGAAGGAAGTCAGGAGTTGGAGATGAGGGGGAAGAGCATTCCAGGCATGGAGATCAACCAGAGAAAATGCCCAGAACAGATAGAGTGTCTTGTTCATGGAATATGAAGGAGGCCACTGTCACTGGATTAAAGAGTATATGGTGGGGAGTAAGGTATAAGGAGACAAGAAAGGTAGGGGAGGCTAAGTTATGAAGAGCTTTGACTGCCAAATAGAGCATTTTATATTTGCTCCTGGAGGTAATTGGAGCCATTGGAATTTATTGAGTAGGGGAGAGGGGTGATATGATCAGACCTACATTTTAGGAAAATCATTTTAGTGGCTGAATAGAAGATGAATTGGAGTGGGGAGAGACTTGAGCAGGGAGACCTACCAGCAGGCTATTAGCAGTTATTATCACCTATTGGCATAAAGTGATAAGGGCCTTCACCAGAGTGCTGTCAATGTCAGGATAGAAGAGCATACTTGAGAGATGTTGGAGAGGTGACGTTGACAAGCCTTGGCAACAGATTGGATGTGGGCATAAAAGATAGTGAGGAGGCAAGGAGGGTGCCTAGGTTTTGAGCCTAAGGGACTAGGAAGATGGTGGTGCCCTGTAAAGAAGTTGTGGGTTTAAGAAGAAAGATAATGAATTCCATTTTGGACGTATTGAGTTTAAATATCTGCTGGACATCCAGTTTGAGATGGTCAGCAGGTTGGGGCAGGACAGGTGAATTTGAGAATCATCACCATAGAGGTGGTAATTAAATCCATGGTAGCTGATGAGATTACCAAGTGAAGTGGTCAAGAAGCAAAAGAGAAGAGGGCCCAGGACAGAATCCTTTGGGACCCCAGTGTTGTTAAAGGGACATGATATGGATGAGGATCCAGCAAAGGAGACTGAAGAGGGGTCATATAGGTAGAAGCAGAAACAGGAGAGAGTGATGCCCTGAAAACCTCGAAAGAAGAAAGGAGGAGAAGGGTGATCAACAGTGTCAGTGGCACTTAAAGTCAAGGAGGATGAGGATTGAGAAAACACTGTTGAATTTAGCACCTAAGAAATCAGTACTAACTTTGAAAAGAGCAATTTTGGAGGAATCATAAGGTAGGAAGCCAAATTGTAAGAAGTTAAGAAGAGAGGAAAAGGAGAGAAAATGGAGGCATCCATAAAGGTGAGAGAGAATATGGAAAACATACTATTTGATTTTTCCATCCAAATAAAAGACCATTTTCAGCTTCTACAAAGTACCCTAGAAATGTTTTCCTACATATGATGAGTTCTTTGTAGCAGATTTAATTTGCATAATCTTTGATTATGCAAGAATCTTTGATTCTTGTAGTGCACAAACATAGGTATCTTCCCTCATCTCTTATTTCTAGATATTTTATTAGTATAATACCCCTGTGAGACAAGTGCTACAGGTAATATTATCCCCGTTTTATAGGTAACAAGTTCAGAGATTTAAGTACATGTCCATGATCAAACATCTAGAAAGTGTGAAAGGAAAAGCAGAACTTCAACCTATGTGTCTCCTAGCCTCAAATCCATCATTCTTTCCAATACGCCATGCAGTTCTGCATTATTATTAGTTTCATTAATGGAGAGGCTGAAAATAGTGAGCTTTTTAGGGAAGACTAAAATGCTGTAGAAATTTAAACGAATAGATTTTCTTAGAAGAGTTGAATTAATAAACCAGTATTATCTTAAAGTGTATTTTATTACAAAAAGATGGTTCCTAAAAAAAATCTAGATTAGCTCCTCTATAATAGAGGTTCTTAACCTAGTGTCCACAGAATCCCAAGTGCTCTGTGGATAGAGTTCAAGGGGCCTGTGAACCTGAATGGGAAAAAAAATTACATCTTTATTTTCCCCACCCTCTAATTGAAATTTAGCATTTCCTTAGATTGTGAATGTAGACCACAGACATTCTAAGAAGGGGTGCCTAGGCTTTGACATAATGCCAGAATAGCCCGTGACATTCATTAAAAAGGTGAAGAACCACTCATCTAGAAGAAATGTATTGTCTTCTTTCAGTAATACCAGAATAAAATTATGAAAAATAAAATTGAAAGCCTTTATAATTTAATTCCCTTATTAAACTATTATACATTATTGTATTAAATCACATATCAAAATTTAAATGGTCATGTTTCTCTAAAACAAAATTGGATTGTCATGATTAAAGTAAGTTGTCATGTTTCTCTATTGCCATTATTTAAAAAGACTGGCATTGATTTGAAGATATATAACTAAGCCTTTTTCTTTCTCTGTTATTGTTCTGTGTAAAACCAACAGAATCAAGCATCTTTGCTACAGAATTTGCCTTACATTTTTTAATTATGACAGCGTATAAAAGAATCAAAGAGGGAAAAAAAGGATTAATGAACATTATATTAAATCTTTCATCTAATAGAAATTATTAGTTGCTTTATTTTAGGCCTAACAAAGGTGGTAAAAACAGAATAATTAATCTCGTTTTGTTACCAGTTTAAAGTATAATATGAGATTCAGAGATGGTTTTCCATTGGCTTTTTCTTAAAGGGAAAATGAAGTTAAAAGTATTCCTGGGAAGACGATATTTCCCAAGACTAAAAATAGCTATATTCCCAAGCAGCAGCTGAAATTTGCGTATCTTCATTTCAGTGCAAACTAAACTTATTTTTCAAAGAAATGCAGTCCTTGTTTTGTAAATTGCCTCCTTTCTTGTGCACTTGTTCCTATTGTTTTTTTTTTACTTACTTTACCTTTTGCCTTTTTAAATATGTTCTCAGTAATCATTTCTAAACTGACCAGTGTTGATCAGTCCCTCCTCTGCAACTTCGAGTCCTCATGATTTGCCTACAATACAGAAAAGTCTCACAGCCAGTATGTGTCAGAAACAGTACTTGAATAAGACCAGAAAGGCAACTACCTCTCTAAGTTTCCACTCACTTTTTTTTTTAGTTGAATGATATGATTTTAAATCTGAAGATAAAAAATACCTCATTTCTCATAATAACTATGTTTTTCACATCTGGCAGGGGAAGTACAAATTGGTATTTTATTGATCCCTGGAATTTTTTTGTTTAATACTAATTCTATTTGCTTTTAAGATGACATTTCCTACACTTTGACATATTTCTATTCCCTCTTCACTGCTGATTTAAAAGTATCTTAGAGCATTTGTATCATTTATCTGGCGATAACAAATGTTTGATGACATGCGTTAATTTTAAATGTACTTTCATAAAACAGATTTCTATACTTCGTGTCCGGGAAAGGCCTTTCTTCAATTTCCATCTTTCCCCCTACTCTTTCTGGTTTCTCTTAGGCTGAGTTTTAAGCAATGGTAAAGTTTTGTTGTTGCTGGCCCATTGTTATAGAAATTTGAAAAACACCTAGTTAGATTATTCTTGAGCCATTTCTGTTTTGGTTTTGCTTACCATGTAGTGCTATAAATGACCCATGCATGGGAACAGAAAGAAGAGAGGAAATAATTTGTCAACTCTGCAGCCTAGGTTTATGAAGCTTGCTTTATATAGAAAGGAGAATTTTCCTCAGTGTCCTTGCTCACATATATTAATTACCATTTCAAAATAAAATAAAATTCTGACTTTAAGATTAATAACATTTAAGATCTTTGTGTTTCATTTTGAATAGAAAAATGTAACTGAAACACACTTTACAATATGTTTTATATTAGCCATGCTTTTCAAAAACTGTTCTTGTCTCTTTTTTTCTAATGTTTAAAAAAATTATTTCAAGGAAAGGCCTAGAAGTGCAGTGGAACAGCTGTGTTTAGCTGAAAGTACTCGACCTCGTATGACTCTGGAGGAACAAATGGAAAGAATAAAAAGACGCCAACAAGCTTGCCTAAGGGAGAAGAAAAAAGGACTGACTCTCATTGGTACATCAGACCAGTCACCCCTGCAGTGTCCATCATTTTGCAGAGATAATCCATTCAGGGTGATCCAGGTAAATGAAAATTTTTTGTTCATTATAGTATGATAGCATTCCATTTAGATTGGACTAGTTCATTATAATGCTGTTTAATATAATTTTAGGTATATACCTCTCCTTTTATGGATGAGGGAAAAAAAGCTTCAGAAAGGGTTGGTAATTCGTCCTTGGTCACATATGTATAGCAACTGGTACAATAAGGACTCAAACCCAGATCCTTTCACTTCAAATTCACTGGGGTTTTTTGCTCTATACTATGTGATCTTTTATGAATGAATGCACTTTTTAAAAATCTTAGCAATTCCATATAAATATATGATATTGATGTTTTGCCCCTGTTCTCTCTAAAATGCTGTGGATTGTTCTGCATTTTTATTTACATGCATCTAAGCTGTAGCAGGAGACAGTAAAAATCCTCCCATTTGTAAATATTCTGCTTTCCTTCAGATACTTTTTGCCTTGTATTGCCTTTATTGTCTCATTAACCTTCTAATTTTACTAGACTTCATATTTTCACTTTGACCTTCTAAGAGTACTATCATCTTTGTTCTCTGCCCATCATCCTAAGCATGAGGATATAAACTAGTGGGTCAACTGTAGCTCATCAGATTTGTTTTGAGTGCAGAGTTTTCACATAATACAGCTTCACCTGAGTGTTATACAGTCACTCTGAATTACAACAGATTAGCTGGTTTCATCAGCTTAAAGTTATCATCATAGTAATTAACCCCATTCCCTTGCTATTAGAAGTAGATGTTGCTAGTGGCTAATTATAAATTAATATAAAGTTTAAGGTATTGCATTAATGCAAATGATAGTTCTTATTTTTCCTGCTCTCGAGGATTTTGTCCTTTAGAGTAGGAATTAAATAAGTCTGCATATTTCTGCCAGCTACCAAAGTGGCTAAGTTAAAAAACTAGAAATGAAAATAAATGATACATATAACATGTTCCTTTTATTTCCTCTGACTATTTTCATTAGTTTCTCCACTCATTCATTGTTGTTTGTGGACAGGAGAGACAGCTTATTTCAGAACAAACAAATGTGTGTCCTGTGTGCAAGGAATGTGTCAGAAAAGTTTTAGATGTGCCTTGCAGTGTGAATAGGCAACATGTGTATATGTTATCCTTTGTAAATCTATAAATGTGCAATTTGTTGCACAGACTCAGAGGGATGATTTGATGTCAAATAACGTTAAGGAACTGGAGAACATCAGTAGAGAAGACAGTGTTGAACCAAACCTTGAAACTTCTGTGGAAGAAATAGCTCAACTAAAAGAAACAATCGCCATAGACCCTCAGGATGAGGATCTCAGTAAAGAGGTACAAAGTTAATTTGAGTAGAGGTACTTAGAGTTTGAGCAAATAAGGTGACAATTGTAAAAATTTGTTAAGTGGTATGAACCATAAAAAAATTTATTACCTTCTAACTCTTCCACCTGTTTTACTTTCCCTGACTTCCTGTCTTTTCTTTACCTTATTTTAGCCTTATCTGGTTTTCTCCCTTTTTTATTTTTCTGCTGACAAAAGTATTGTTTTTTTTTGTCATGCTTTCATTTTACTAATGAAGTAATTATTGTTTTACAACAATGTTGTTTTATAATCTGTGTTTAAAGACTTTAATATTAAAAATAGAACTATTTCCCAGAGTTATTCAGAGTTGGAAGAGGTCTCACTGGTCATCTAGCCCAGGTAACTGGGTGGTACATTAGTTAGAGCACTTCAAATACTTTCTTTGTGACCATGGGCAAATTTTTTTTTTTAACATCTGTCTGCCCCAGTTTCCTCAGTTGTAAAATGTGGATAATAATTGCATCTACCTTCCCATGGTTATTGTAAAGATCAAGTGAGATACAATATGCAAAGTGCTTACACAGTGCCTAGCATATAGTAGGTGTTTAATAAATGCTTGTTTCTTTCTTTCTTATGTTGATCCAGCATTCCTTTACTACACATTAGATAAGTTGTTATCTAGCTTTACTTGAAGTCCTCACAGCAGCTATTCCACTTTTAAATAGATCTAATTTATTAGGAAAATTTTCTGTAAATCAGCCTAAATTTGCCTCTTTGCAACTTCTACCCATATTTTGGCCCTCAGGAACCAAGCAGAGCAGTATTTTTTTCTATTCCATATGACAACTATCTTCAGTTATTTGGAGGCCTATCTTATCCTCCCTAAGTCTTCTCTTGTCCACACTGAACATTCTCTGTTGCTCTTCTTCATATGGCATGAACTGGAGGCTTTTCACTTCCTAACTTGTCCTGTAAAAGATCTCTTACACTGTGGTGCCCCAAACTGAACATATTCGTCTGACCAGGGCAGAGTACAATGGGGCCCGTTATTCCTGATAGTTTTCCCTCTTATAATCCACCCTTTAGTTTTTCTGGCTGGCACATCTAACTATATAAGAATCTTGAGGGGGCAGCTAGGTGGTGCAGTGGATAGAGCACTGGCCCTGAAGTCAGGAGGACCTGAGTTCAAATCCGGCCTCAGACCAAACACTTGACACTTACTAGCTGTGTGACCCTGGGTAAGTCACTTAACCCAAATTGCCTAAAAACACAAAACAAGAATCTTGAAATCCACTAAAACCCACAAGTCTTTTTTAGAGATACCTTGCATCCATTACTTTCCCCATCTTATATATTTGTGAAATTGACAATATTTTTTGGTCATGTAAAGCTTAGCATTTATCCCTGTTGAATTTCATCCTGTGCCATCCTCTGTCCCTTTCAACCATCCTTTTTCTCCCTAATTTTCATCTGCTTCTTAAACCATTGGTTCCTTCCCTGCTGCCTAAAAGCACTCCTAAATCTCCCTCCTCTTTTAAAAACCAAAAAACGCTTCACTTAATTCTATGATCCCCTCAAAGTAATGTCTCTCTCCTTTTCTCAACCAAACTTCTAGAAAAAGCTGTCTACACTCATTTATTGTTGTCATCTCGTTTTCCTCCCCACCCCCCTCCCACCCCATCTCACCCCATCTCACATCTCCTCTTACTTTCTAACCCCTTACAATCTGGCTTCTGTCCCCACCACTTGGCTGAAATTTAGTATTTATTCTTCATTGTTAAACCCAATTACCTTTATGCTGTTCTTATCCTTCTCAGCCTCTCTACAGTGCTGGACCCTGGGGTCCTTCTCCTTTTGGATACTGCCTACCCTGGGCTGGTTTATGGTTTGTTTTTAACCAGACCTATGTTCTCATTGGTTTAAGGAATTCTCACTGCTGATGGAGATTAGTATCTATTCTGCAAATTCTAGTTTTAGAGACTTGCCCGGGATCACATAATAGATACGTATAATGGATGATACTTGAACCTAGGTCTTCTTGACTTTAAGTAATGTTTCCTGTGAGGCCCAAGAGGTCCGACTCACAGGAAGCAGGAGCTGGCAATTTGAGATCAGTCCATCCTGCTCCTTCTCCTGTACTCTCTCTGGATGATCTGATCAGGTCCCATAGATTAAACTGCCATCCATGTGCCGATGGCTCATATATCACTATAGCCAATCTTTCTCCTGTACTTCAACCCTACATCATCTCCAGCTGCCTTGCAGGGTATCTCCACTTGTATGTCCCATATGCATGTCACACAAAACATGTCTGAAACAGAAATTTTTGTCCCCTAAAATCACCCCTTTTTCTGTTTTCCTGTTTCTGTTAAGATCACCAACATTCTCCTACTTATTCACGTTTACAATCTAAACTTGAGTTTGATTAACCTAAAGTTGAGGAGTCATCCCCAACTCCCATATCCAGTCAATTGCCAGGTCTCATTAATTTTGCCTCATTAAGATCTCTTTTCATCTGTTTCTCCACTTGTATCGCAACCATCCAGTCATGATCGTCATCACCTCCCACCTGAACTGCTGCAATAGACTTCTCATTGGTTTCCTTGCATAAGTCTCTCCCCTCTAAAAATCCGTTCTCCTCACAGCTGCTAAAATGATATTCCTAAAGCCTTGCCCTATTCACTCCTCACTCAGAAAACTTCTGTGATTCCCCATTGCCTTCAAGATAAAGGATAAGCCCCTCACTTTGGAATTAAAAGTCCTTGACTCCAGTATATCTTCCCAGGCTGATGATATGTGTTACATGTATGTTACTCCAACACATACACTCTTAAGTTCCAGCTAGGCTTTCCTACTTGAACCCTGTACATAACATTTTATCTCCTCTATCTTTGCACAGGCTATGCCAAATGCCTAAAATTCTCTCCTTCAGCTTGTACCTCTTGGAAACTAGTTCCCTTCATAGCTTACTTCAAGAACCACTTCCTTAAAGATGTCTTTCCTGATTCCCGCCATCATTAATTTCCCCCAGTGAAAGAAAAAATACTCTGTATTTATATGTGACTATGCTCTGTTTATATATCCTTCATATTTTATCCCCCTCATAGATTGTTACCTCTTAGTGCTTAACACAGTGTCTGGAGTGTACTTGGTGGTTAATAAATACTTGTTGATTGTTTCAAAGAAAAATTTTTGATGTGTAAGCAAGAAGCTAAATAAAAAAAAATTTTAAATAGAAGAAAATATAAGGTCTACTATTAAGAACAACTGACCTGGAAAACGGGTAAAGAAAAGATAAATGAAGAACCACTGGGCTTCTATTTCAGGAAATCAAAAATAAAAATTGTTTATATTTACTAGAAATAGAGGAAAAGTGCAAATAGACTCCACTGGTCACCTCCTGAAAGAAAATTAGAACCAGATCTCTCAGGAATGTCATAGCCAAATCCACAGCTTCTAAGTCAAAGAAAAATACTGAGAGCAGCCAGAAAGAAGGGATTCAAATACAAAATAAGATTTGGCAGCAACTATTCTAAGTAAGAGAAAATATTTGAATATGATAATCTTTTCTTAATTGATTTAATTTTTTTCAGAATTTAAATGCCCTTAAAAAAGAATATTTTATATACACAGTACACAAAAAGAAGATTGTATGTGAAACCATTGGTCTCTTATTTCATACCTCTTGTTCCTATTAAAAAGTATAAATAGTGGGCAGCTAGGTGGTGCAGTGGATAGAGCACCGGCCCTGAAGTCAAGAGGACCTGAGTTCAAATCCAACCTCAGACCAAGTGTCAAGACTTGACACTTACTAGCTGTGTGGCCCTGGGCAAGTCACTTAACCCCAATTGCCTAAAAAAAAAAAAAAAAAAAAAAAGTATATCATAGATTCCTCATTATGTCTTCCAAAAAAGAAGCAAGAGAGAGAGAGGCAGGGATGAGAGGGAATTGATAATAAACCTTACTGCAAAAATATTTATAACAGCTTTTTTTTCCTAATTATTTATTTTTAGTTTTCAGCATTCGCTTCTATAAGCTTTTGAGTTTTCAATTTTCTTCCCCTTCTTCCCCCTCCCCAAGATGACGTGCAATCTGATATAGGCTCTACTTATACATTTGTATAAGCATATTGTCCCATTAGTCATGATGTAAAAACAGTTAGAACTAATGGAAGAAACCACGAGAATGAAGCAATAAAACAAAACAACAAAGGAAAAGGAGAGCAAATAGTATGCTTCCATGTATGGCCGCTCTTTTTAGAATGACAGAACTGGAATGCTATCAGTTGGGGAATGGCTGAATAAATTATAGCATATGACTATAATGTAATACCATTGAACCGTTAAAAATAAAGAGAACTAGGAAAACTCCTACTAAGTAAGCAAAACCAAGAGAACAGCTTATGTTCTAACAGCCGTATTTTTAAAATGAACAATTCTGAAAGACTTAAGAACCCTAATCAGTGCATTGATGAATGGTTATTACAGAGGACTGATGAATAAGAATTCTGCCCACCTTATGATGGACCAACATGCAGATTGAGAAGCACATTTTGGTTGTGGAGAACATAGGAATTTGTTTTGCTTATTTGATACGAGAGTTCTGTATGTTTTTCCTTTTTTTTTTCCTTTGGTATCATAGCTATTATTTTTATGTTGGCTACTCTCTATGGTATCTCTCTGTGGTATTCTCACCATTATTCCAGTACCTAGGTTTACAGTCTGGATGTTGTCTTCAACTCTTCCCTCTCTCCTTCACATCCAACCAGTTGCAAAGTCTGGTCAATTCTTCATTCATAATACACCTCCCTCTCCACTCACAGAACCACGTACTAGTTCTTGGCCCTCCTCACTACACTAGTACCCTCTTCCTATTCTTAGAAAATTCTCCTAATTGGTTTCCCTACATCTGTTTTGTCACTTCTGTAGTGAGTACTTCCCAAGCTGCCCAACTGATACTGCCATATCAGTTCTGACCAGTCTAACCCCAGCCTATCTTTCTAGGCTTTCCCGTTACTCTCTTTTGTGCTAAGTTTCAGCCAAACAGGTGTTTATTCTTCTCCATACTTAGTGTCTTTCTCTTTTCTCCCTGCCTTTAGAAGGCTGTTCCATTACTAGCATCTTCTTCTGTCCTAACCTTCACCTGATGGAATTCTTGTGTTCTTCAAGGCTCCTGCTCATCTGTTACTTCCTACTGTCTTGATCCCCACCCTTTCTCTCTTTGTTAATGCCTTCCCTCTAGAAAGGGAAATTACATTGTATTATTTTTCATTTGATTTACTTTGTGTCTGTGGGTATCTCCCTTGGTAGTATTTAAGCTTCTTAAAGGCACAGACTTTCATTTTTGAATCCCCAGTGCCTCACTGGTATATAGTAGGCATTTAATAAATGCTTACTAGATGAATGAATGTTGAATGGATAAACTATCAGGTTTGGGCTCATTTGAACAATATCTGAGAAATAATGTTTTCCGTCTTACTTCACAGAATCAAATTCCAACGGATTACAGAGCCTTTCAGAAAGGCCTATAGATGTATGAGTAAACCCTGGTACCTGGACTCATATTTTTTTTATTTTTTTTAACTTTATCAATTTATTTTGATTTATCAGCAATCACTTCCATAAGCTTTTGAGTTTTAAATTTTTCTTCACCTCCCTCCCCAAGACACAGCACATAATCTGATATAGGCTACACATATACATTCCTATTAAACATTTTCATGTTAGTGATGTTGTAAGTAAGAATTAGAACCAATAGGAGGAACCACCAGAAAGAGGAAACAAACACGACAGAAGGAAAAAAATAGCAAATAGTATGCTTCTATCTGCATTCAAACTCCATAGTTCTTTCTTTGGATGTGGATGGCATTTTCCATCATGAGGCCTTTGGAAATGTCTTAGATCCTTGCATTGCTGAGAAGGGTTATGTCTATCAATATTAATCATCGCACATTGTGCCTGTTACTGTGTACAATGTTCTCCTCGTTCTGCTCACTTCACTCCGCATCAAACCATGCAAGTCTTTCCAGATTTTTCTGAAGGAGTTAATATTTTTTAAAGATTCCCTGGACCATGTCACCTGAGTAATGAAATTATGTAGTCTCAGCCTCTTTCAAAGCAACTCTGAAATTTAGGCATTCAGACTAAGAGAAATCTTTGTATGTTTTAGAATGTTATTATTGAGCCCAGAATCTTGGTACTCTATTACATAATTTAGTATTAGGAAAAGCTTGCAGAAAGCATCGTGATTTCACAGGGAGGATAATTTACTATAGTCCTAATTTTATTTGTGGGAGAGTATTTTTTGTACTGTGAGTATATTTAAGAATGATTTGAAAGAGGAAATTTAATTTAATTTTTGTTCTATAGTTAATGAAAACTGATAGTAACTCATTCTGTGAAACACTAATCAAATCTGAGCCAAGAGAAGAGAATTCTGAAGAAATGATGGATAAGCAAAAGGAAAGAGAAAAAATATCTGATGATGTTTCATACAGGTAAAAACAAAAGTAACTGTAATTAAAAAAATTACTGATGCTAGAAACCACAGAAATATAATTTACCCACATCAAAATAGCATTACCTCAAGCCAGTTGTGTTAACATTTTAACTTATATCACACAAAAGTGTAGTGTTTATCAAGATTTTTTTTGTTACTTTTATTTAGGTTCTTAAAGGCCCCATTGTTTTTGGTAATTTTATAGTTCTTTACTATTAGTCAAAATAAACTAATACAGATTACTTATGTCCTTAAAACCTCAAAAAAGAAAGCATTTCCTTCCTTTCTATGCTTTGAAGTTTTGAAAAAATACTTAAATGACAAAAAATAAGGACAAGATTTATTTTTTTAACTTCATAATGTCTTATAAGGAAAAATAATCAGTATCTTAAGGTCAATTTTTGTATTTAGGTTCATTACATAATGTAGAACCATATTTAAAAATGTCACTCTGTATTCATTAGCTCCCAAAGTGTGGCTCTAATCACAAATCATAAACCGGAAGGCAATTCAGAAGAAAAGGAGATGACCAGTATCAATGAACAAGAAGAGAACGTCATTTCTTATGAATCAACTGCTGAGATTTCAAGAGGAAATCAAACAATACCAGGTAGTATTATTGTGTGTGTTACGATTCTTTCCCTGCTACTTCATTTAACCTTCTCCATCATTTTTCTATTTTTTACCTTGATAAAAACATTCCTTAATGAAAATAAGTCCCAATTCTCCTTACAAAATTGGTACTATTGGTAGGCATAACAAGTAAGTGGTTCTCTAGGGATCATGCAAAATTAAGTAGCCAAAACTGAAGAGTGGATTCATTACTCCTGACCCTGTTAAACTCCATAAGTGCTTGCCTCAGTATCTCAGAATTTGACATGGTAGTTAATCCCAAATAAGGAGAACTAGTAGAAATGAGAATTTCTTCCACACATTTAGTAGAAAAAGAAGAATTATTTTATTATCCTGCTATACAGTATTTTTCTGAGAGTTATAATACCTCCCTTCTTCCAGACAGAAATGGAATATAGTTCCTTGGTTCCTTCCCCACCGTGGGGTATAAGTGATTATCCCCAGTTTACAGATGAAGAAACTGGGGCTCAAACATGAAATGATTTGCCCAAAGTCACACAGATAAGAAGTGTTCAAGCCTAGGTCTTAAGCCCACCTCTCCTCCTAACCCTACCAGTGTTCCTTACACTACACCACATAGAGGTATGAGAGCCACATTTTTACTGGTTACCTGGTTTACCTGGTTCACTGTCGTTCTAAGATACGACATTTTATACTGAAATATTTTTCTTATTAGATCATAAAACACTGTCTTTTAAATTGAATTAATCATTACTTTGTTCTGACTGCAACTTATTCACAAATATAACTAGTTCCTGAAATTGTCCCTTAACAGCTCACCCAGCTCATGTTTCTATAGCACTTTAAGGTTCACAACAACCTCACAACACATTCACAACAACCTAAGAGCAGCTAGGAGTATTACAGTTGGAGTCAAGAAGACCATGTTTGAGTCTTGTGTCAGGCCTTTATTGACTGTGTGGCCCTGGGCAAATCACTTCACCTCTCTCGGCCTCAGTTTCCTTGTCTGTAAACAGGGAATAATAGCAACTACTTCCCAGAATAAATGAGGTTCTATGTATATGAAACCTTAAAGTGCTAGATAAATATTAGCTTATAATGATAGCAGTTTGTAGAACACTTTACTTGTATTATCAAAATGGATTGGTTACTCCTGTAACTTATTATCCTCATTTTTTAAATGAGGAAACCAGGGCCCTAAGACTTGCTATTTCTCCCCAGAGGTTGCTCAGCTGATGACTGTCAGTGCCAGGACATAAATACAAGGCCCTGATCCCAAGTCCTGAGTTTTTTTGTGCTACACACTATATCTCTCAGATGTATCAACGTGTGTAAAGCATTGTAATATTGTTTATGAAAAGTAAGATATTTTTCCTCCTTTGTATTGTCTGTCCAAACCAACCTAGAAAGTTTATTAAAGATAAGACAGATTGGGAACCTAACTAGGAGTGACTCATTTAGCTGTCAGTCAGAAGTCTGGAAAACTACAGAAACTAACATTTTGACACACAGATTCTGATGAAAGATTTCATAGTATATAAGTAGTTTGTTCCCAAATTAGACAGTTGCAATAAAAAATAAACACATCTGTTCATTTCTACTCAAAACCATTCATTTGTATGTAATTGAGAACCTACCGTGTGCAAAGTGCTGTGCTGTAGTGACTGTAGAAGTTACAATGCAGAAAAAGACCTCTGGCTACTTTTTCTGACTGTATTTGTTACCATCTGAATGGAGCCCCAGGATTACTGGGGCTAACATACCTATTGTATGTTAAAGGTTTTTGTTTTCTCATGTTTTCTTGGTGTGTTGTTTTCAGTGAAAAATCTGCCCCAGTCACCTGAGCCTTCAACATCACCAGTTCCATCAGCACAACCACAACTCACAGAAGGATCACATTTCATGTGTGTATAGTTACAGAGAAGTATGTTCTTTTTTCCCCCCATTTTGCTTGTGCTTCATAGGTAGTTGTCTGTTCATTTGTCATGTTGTTTAATAGATTAGTCTGGACAGTACATGAGTAACTTAGAAAATTTTTAATTTTGTCTTACTTTTTTTATGTTTTTTTTTAAATGTTTGTCTTCCATTCAATCTGTATGGCTGTGAATAATGGAATACCATAATCTCTAGTTGGCAACTAGGCGGCGCAGTGGATAGAGTGTTTAGACTGGAGTCTGGAAGACCTGAATTCAAATATGGCTTCAGACACTTACTAGCTGGGTCCTTGTGCAAGTCACTCAACCTCTTTTTGCCCCAGTTCCCTCAAGTTGCAAAATGGGGAAAATAATAGCACCTACCTCCCAGAGTTGTTGTGAAGATGAACTGAGATATTATTTGTAAAGCAGTTGTCACAGTGCTTGGCACTTAGTAATAATTACATAAATGGCAGCTATTATTATTACCTCTGAAAAATTAAAAGTTGAGAATCACCTAAAAATGTAATGGAAAAGTGCTTAGTGGGCATGAGTAGACTGCAACACATTACCAGTGAGGCTTTGTATGAGAAAAGCAACGTAAAGCTTGTCATCAGAAAGATGTATGATGGGGAAAAAAGGTTAGCTAGTCTTGACAAGAACAACCTACATGCTCCATTAGTGAACACATAATGTCAAGAGAGCTCAAAAAGGGACACCCAGTAACATGGGTGGATCCCTCTATGAAGAATTTATGGGAAGAAGTGGGCAAGTGTAATACAGGATGAAAGGGCGTGGATGAGTTGCAGTGTGAAACGAAGTACCCTATATTGATGAAATCACACACTTAACTAATGTATTTCCATAAAGGTCATTTCTCCTGTTAGATTGCAAGCTCTAGATATCTTTTTAAAAATCTAAACTTAGTAACCATCAGTGTTTAACATAAACATTCACATACACAAAGATTTTTAAATGAAATTACAAACTGTTTTTTAGTTTGTGTGCGTGTGTGTAAAAGATTTTAAGAAAAATATCTTTGTTTCCCAGTACCCCTCCCAAACTTTTTCCAGTTTGCATTTTTTCATACTTTGTTGCTGTCAGATTTTTTTTTATAAATGTTTGATGTGCATATTGTGATGAATCTGCTTTCTCCACTCTTCTTCACTTCATACAAGTCTAATAGTTCTTTGTGTTTGTCATAGTTGTTATTTCTTATGACATAATATTTCACAGTTTAACCGTTCTGATGGGGTTGGAATCTGAGCCCCAGAAAGGAAAAACCCTGAACTTTCCCACATGGCCAAATCTCTGGCGTTCCCCTGAGGCTATGGTCCCATCAACTGGTCTTTCATTGTGGCTACACCCAATCTCCCCTCTATTGTCTTGCCTCCCTATGGCCCCAGGCCACTTCCCACCCTTGGTTCCACCTAGGCTCCATTTCCCACCCTTGGGGATTCTATTACCTCATGGACTACTTGATCCATCTTGTCTCCATTAAGATGCTCAGATTTTACAATCTAGACAATAGCCCATAGATGCCCAGATTCCTTAAGAGTCTAGCTAATACGGCGAGTCTTCGATAAACTTTGTTTTTGGCTACAGGAAGGCTTGGGTCGAAATCTTTCGGGCAGGACCCAGATATCGTGATTTTGGGGTGCCAGGACCCCTAACTTCTAGACCGCATCAATTCCAGTTTTAATAACAAATGATACTGCTATGAATATTTTGGTGATGTCTTTTGCTTTCTTTTTTTTTAATTTTTTTAATCCGGGACAGCACCTAGCACAGTGTCTTGCACATAACAAATGCTTAATAAATATCCATTAAATTAAGTGAAATGAAATGGTCTTATGATACAGCCAACATAGTGACATCAAAAACCATCAAAATTATTTCCCAAAGAAATTTATCATATATTATGCCATAGCAGTCACTTGTGGATTACAGTGAAAATGGTGAAGACAAAAAAGATAATTACTTTTAGGGGAGAGTATGCAGCACCAGAAGTTAGGAGCTCTCTACTACAATGTTAGCTCTGCCATGAATTGGTTATTTGACCTTGAACAAGTCATTTTACTTCTCTGGGCTTCAATTTCCTTATATGCAAAATAAATTGTTAGACTAAATGCTCACTAAGGTTCTTTATGGGTGGTTTATGTTGTAGAGTCATATGCAAATATTTGCAAGCTTCAGAAGGGGGAGACGGAGGTAACAAAAATTTAAGGAATTACCTACAAAACTACTCTAAAAATAGCAAAAAACCTATGACTTTCTTCTAATGGCTGGCATCTAAATTCATTACCTTTTAGGTCTGAAAATAATTTCCTAGAGATCAGGCTGTTAATAAACTGCAAAAACTATTGACATCAAGTGATATATTGGAATTTTGCTGATCATGAGGATTTGCAAATCAGTTGTTTTCTTTGTGTTGTTTTTCTTGTTTTTCATTTTTCAGAAAAGTTCAGAACAAGAAATTTCTACTCTTATCCAATTTTATTTTCAGTGTCCAGATGCAGTAATATTTGGTACAGTTTTTAGATATATTCTATACCTAAACAACCTAAACCCAATGCAAGCTTTTGAATGCCTATCAGTCTGCATTTATTAAGCACCCGCTAAATAGCTCTAGGCCAGATCCTGGGGATACAAAAAGTGAAATAACCCCTACCTCTAGAACTTACATTCCAAAGAGAGACTTTAAGTACCTGAGTGTACAGTTAATAGCTCAATTAGCATAATGAATTAAGTTATTACCACTGAGACTTTTTGGGACATATGTGTCTATTAATTCTTTATATACAAAGAATGCTGAGAGTACTGGCAATTGGGAATCAGGAGAGACTTCATGTAGAAGGTGGTGCTTAAGCTGAGTATTAAAGGGGAAAGGGGTGTTCTGTGAGACAGAGGTGAAAAGAGAGATGGCCAATGCAAAGGCACAGAGAAGGAGATGGAGTGATGCTCAGAGAGAAGGCCAGTTTGACTAGATCAGAGTATAGGAGGGGGGCTTGTCTGTAATGAAGCCAGAAATATAAGTTGAGCCAAGTTTCTAAAAGGCTTTAAATGGTAAACAAAGGAGTTTAAGAGTTAATATTTTATACCAGAGGCAATATGGAGCCTCTAGTGTTTTTTGAGCAAAGGAATATCTTGCTCAGATCTGCACTTAAAGAAAATCCCGGAGTTAGCAGAAGAAGAAAGGATGAATTAGATCAAGGAAAAATCAACAGGGAGGATTTTGTAGGCAAACTGCAGTGCCTACAGAAATTGTGGAGATGGAAATGGCAAGATTTAGGAACTTATTGAATAGGTGAAGTGAGGGAAAATGAGTCCAAAACAAGACCAAGGTTATGAACCTGGGAGACTAAGCAAAGCAGAGTGGTACCTTCAGTAGGGAAGGGGAATTTGGTAGAGCGGTGGATTTGGGGAAAAATATAATGAGTTCTGTTTTTGACATATTCAATCTGATTGAAGACATCCAGTTGGAAAGGTCGAATAGGCAATTGGTGAGGGAGGGCTAAAGATCAGAGGAGACTAAACTTGGGCATATATCTCAAGTCATTTGCATAAAGATGATATGTAAACTCAAAGTATTGATGAGGTCACCAAAGGAGAATATGGAGAGTGAAGCAGAGGGGCTCCAACGCAGAGATTAGGGAATACCCACAGGGGATGAGATACAGCAGGTGAGATAGCTATGGAGACTGATAAGGACTAGAGGAGGAAATCCAGAAGAGAGTAGGGTCACAAGTAACCAAAGAAAGAAATAGATAGTGTCAAATGCAGCAGAGAAGTCAAAAAGGTCAAAAGAGAGAGTAGAATAAATGGGGGGCAGGATAAGATTAAGGGAAATATACTTAGTTTTGTACAACATAACTACTATGGAAGTGTTTTGCTTGACTCCACATGTATAACTTGTATCAAGTTGCTTGCCTTCTCAATGAGGGTGGGTGGGGAGGAAGGGAGAAAATTTGGAACCCCAAGTTTTAAAAACAAATGTTAAAAAAAAATTGTTTTCACATGCAATTGGGAAATAAGATATACGGGCAATGGGGTATAGAAATCTGTCCTAAACAGGAAAATTGAAGGGGAAGGGGATAAGAGAAGGGGGTGGGAGAGAGAAGGGGAGGACAGATTGGGGAAGGGGTATTCAGAATGCATGCCATCTTGGGTTGGGGAGAGGGACAAGATGGGGAGAAAATTTGGAACTCAAAATCATGTGGAAGTGAATGTTGAAAACTAAAAATAAATAAATTAACCCAAAAAAAAAGCCAAAAAGGATGAGAACTGATAAAGAACCATTACATTTAGCAATTAATTAAGATGTCATTGTTAAGTTTAGAGGGAGCAGTTTCAGATTATGAGATTGGAAGCGAGCAAGATTGCGTAAGATTGAAGAGTGAGTGAGAAGAGGGGAAACAGAGGCAATCAATGCATGTAGACAGCGATTTTTAGGAGTTGGTCTGGAAAAGGAAGAGAGATGTAGGATGATAGCTTGAGGGGACGGTATGCTCCTGAGCACTTGGGGTTCAGTTTTGGTTTGGCTTTTTTTTTTTTCTTTTGAGGATGAAAGAGACTGAGGCATGTATGTTTAAAGACAGTAGGGAAGGAACTAGTAGATAAAAAGAGGCTGGAGATTAGACAGCGGGGATGATTAAATTTTACCATTACTTCTGCACAGACAAGTTTAAACTCTACAGGCCTCTTATCAGTACTTAATATTTGTTTTTATTCTTTTAAAAATAAATGAGCAAGTCAAGCTTATGTTTCAGAATCCGCAGCAGTTCAGTATTTTGCTAAATGCCTTTGTTTTCAATTTTCAGGATACTCTTCTTGATCCTTAAATTATTGTTGTACGATGCTTTTAATTCTTACTTAAGATCATTTCCACTGGAAACAAATAAGTACCCCTCTTTTGTTGGGTTTTTTTGGGGGGGGGTTTTGGTTTTTGGGGTTTTTTTTGGTAAGGCAATTGGAGTTAAGTGACTTGCCCAACATCACACAGCTAGTACATGTCAAGTGTTTGGTCTGAGGTCAAATTTGAACTCAGGTCCTCCTGACTTCAGGGCCGGTTCTCTATCCACTGCTCCACCTAGCTGCCCTGCCTCTTTTGTTATTTATATAGAATTCAAGTAGCACCGTGGAAAAATGCACAGTCCTTTTCTTAGCTTCCATTCTTTGGCTATCCAGTGCTGCCCTCTTTTTATTCTTTAATCCAAATTAAATCAGCAAGTACTTGTCAGGCACTGCTTCATAGGTCTCAACTATGTCACTTAGGCTTTTAAGTCTTATTAATTTAGTCATTTCAGTGCAACTGATAACAAACGAACACCCACATGACTGGAAGAGGAAAATACTGCCTAACAAGCTGTAGATGAAAATGACCCCTCAGTCTTACTACAGAGCTTGGCCCTAAAAGACAATTATCATTATTGGTTGGTTAAGTAAAAGCAGCAAAAATTAAATGTTCAAGCCCTAAACCTATTCACTAGTTGAGAAGCTTGCAATATATGGCAAGTTTTCATATATTTTATACCCATTTTTGAGGATAAAGCCTTTGTGAGGAATGCTAACAGTTTGGTTCCCACAGAATTGATAAGAAAAGAGGACAGGGGGAGATTAGGTTATTGATTAATTGATTTCTTGGTTTATTGGTTTACACAAATATGTAAATAAGATAAGGGAATGAATGGGATAATATAGGTGAAGCCCCCTCAGGGGAATGAACTAACCCCGACCTCAGTTACTTTTCCTACTTATGACTGTTGCAAGACTGCACCCAGATGCTTTGGAGCACATTCTGGCTGAACAGGATGTTCCATGTGGCTAAACCAGATGTTCTGGTTGTGCAAAGAGACCATTCCCCTCTAACTTGTTTTGAACTTCCTTCCATAGAAGTTAGAATTCCGCAGATAGATTGTGCCCATAATATACCCAGCCAGTGGGTTGAGGGGAAGGGTATTAGGGCGGGGACATTGCAGATAGGGTCTATATATTCTGCTTCACAAGACATTCAGACACACACCCTAGCTGGAGCCATCTTGAGCAAATGCTGGTTGTGTCCTTTCTCATGAGAAAGCAATAAAACTCCTTTTTGCCTTTCTTAAGAAAAAGTCTCTGATTTGATTATTTTGGGGGTCACAAACACCGCATACACCTTGTTAGTCAGCATTGTCACTTTTTCAGTTTCTTAAACTGTTTCTTGAAGCAATTATGTTTAAAGGGACAGTGACACCACAGAATAGTAATGTATAATATAATTTTAGCATCTATCTGCTACAGGGTGCCGGTATCATCCTAATTTTTGATATTTAAATGTATTTTCTTCCATATGTATATCATTTTCTAAATTCTTGGCTTTGGCAGCATTTAAGAAAGTTTTGGAAAGGACACTTGTGTAGTTACTTGAGCGTATTGTTATAGATTTTAGTGGGGTCCAGCAAATCTATTGGGTTTTTTTTTCCTTTTTTCTTCATCCACAAACATTATTTATTCCTTCATATTCAATAAGTTTGGTTCTATTTATGATTTTGAATTGCTCTTAGTAGCAGTTTGGAAGTACAATTAAACAGTTTTCGTCATTATATCTGTCAAGCCCATATGGAAGAACAGAATTGGGTTGTATGCGTGTTTTATTTCTTTCAGGCTAGCAGCATGCTTGTGGAGCTGTGAACTGAGCTCCTTTGGGGGTTACACTGCACAGTTTTTATACCCTTCCAGTAGGAACTATTGTGGCTCCATCATCATGTCACCCCTGGACAGAGAAAATATGTGTGTACCAGACCACTCCCAGCCTTGGGCTATGCAGGCAAAAAGATCTGTCTCCACCCAAGCTTGAATAGAACACAATGGGCTTCCCCACTGTAGATTAAATTCCTTGCCGGCTAGGGTGGTGTCTGATCTAGATGAGGAGAGTGGATGCTGTCTCATTGTCAATAATGTCCTGTAGAAAAACTGAATTTAAACTCAGGACTTTGGAAGAGGGGTGGAACTCTGAATCTCCCCACGATACTGGTTATTAATCATTTCTCACATATTTTAGTTGTTTAATAGCCATGTATGTGATCACACTTCTCTCTCTATGCTTCCTTCAATTAAAAATGTGAAACATTAATTCTTTAACTTTGTAGGTGGTAAAATAATTTTCTTTTCTTCTTTTCTAGCTACAACAGCTTCTGTTGAAATAATTCATAGTTAAGGATATGGACCTATGGAAGTGTCAGAAGAAATTGTACAGTCTCTTAAATCTATGAAATTCATAGTTCAGATGCTTTTAACCACAGAGCATCATTTTATCACTTCTGGAAATGTTTATTCCAAGATAGCTTTAATGGCCCATAGGTACACTCCACAATATCAAGGTTATCTATTATGACACCAGCTTGCTGCTATGATTTCAGTGCACATAAATAATGGTGCTTTTTAACGTGTAGCCTACAGCCATAGCTTAGTTGCTGTGTTCCAGATTTAAATGTTTCTTAATTCTACGTTGATTTACATTTGGATTTTGACTTTTTAGTACATGAAATTGGTTACTTTTACACAACTCTACTGAAGCTTATTTTCTCTTTGGCTACTATAATGCATTGTTTCACACTTGGTTTGTAAAATTCTTATATATGTGTGTGTATTTAAAATGTGCCATTTTATTATTGCTAAGTGAAATGTCCTGTTTTTGCTGTAATTATTTCTCAGTCACATTGCACTCAGTCACATTGCAGCGTCAGCAGTTAACTGCCATACTGTTGTCAACATATAAACAAATGTTAAGGCCTATTTTTCCTTAAAAACAAAATAAAGTGTAGGTATTTTGAGGTACTGGGCTTTTACTTCTTTGGAATAGGTGTGTACAGCAATAAGCTTTCCAATTCCAGTACTTAGTTTGTGTACAAATGTAATTATGTTCATTGTGTATATATTATACAATGAGCACATACAATATAAGTATATAAAGTTACTATTGTTTAAATGCAAATGTTCATATCTCATTTCTTTTCTATCATGTTAAATAAATGTTGATGTTCTTAAACATCTGTGTTAGTGATTTTTTTTCCCGCCATTTAAAACTGAATTTAAAAAAAATGGTAGATTTGGTAACTACCAAGAGGAATGTTGGGACTATCAAAAAAAAAAACCAAAAGTTAGAGAAGTTTTATATTTTATTGATAAAGAAACTAAGGGCTAAACAAAGTAAATGTCAGCCTACACAGCTCATCAATGGCAGAGCTGTTTTAAACAAAGTCTCCTACCTTCCATATATTTTTGTTAAACTTCATGACTTTTTATTCTTGTTTGGACAAAAATTAGTTTTGTAAGTGGGAAAAATAATGAATAACCTCATTGAAGAGTGTGTGTCTAAACACTTAACACAGTTTAACAAATTCTTCTCATGGAAATTTTCTGGGATATCATATCTTTTCCCAAACCATTTCTCGTGAAGTCAGTGGTGCTATTAAAGAACGTTATCTATTTTATTCTATGCCAGGGATTCTTAACCTGGAGTTCATGGACCTTGAAGAGGATATGGATATATTTCAGAGCATCTGTGAACTTGAAAGGGAAAAAATCCAACTGAAATTTAGCATTTCCTTTGATTATAAATATAGACTGCAAAAAAATATTCTGAAAAGAGGTCCATAGGCTTCACTACACTACCAAGGAGATCCATGAGTCGCAAAAATGGTTGAGAACTCAGGTCCTTTACTCTTTTATCCTCCAGTAATCAGTTTCACATTCTTCCTGCTATAAGCTTTCATTTGTACTTTACATTGTTTCCAAAACTCAGGGAAACTTTAGCCTTTTGGATTTCTGCATAAAAATTACATTTTACAAAAAAGCCATAGCCCCCACACACAAGTCCAAGTCTTACTGAAGTTAAAGCCTAAAATTTTGGGGACATTGTTGTTCGTCCTTTGTTCTCAAAGAGGACCAATGACATCAGAAGGTGATAATGACTTGGATGAATTGGATTTAAGAGAGGCAGAGCTGTACCTTACTCTCTCCTCCACAGTCATCAAAGTCCAGGAGCTAGACAGAAGTCAGTACAGATGATGCCCTGGGATACAGTAGATGACCTTGGCCTTTCTAAATTGAGGTCTTTCCCTTAGTTTGTCTGAAGCCACCCTCATTCAGTGGCTAAGGGCTATGTAAGAGTTGAGACAAAAGATAGCCCAAGTTACCATCACAAAGATAGCAGTCTGGGAGGGGAAGAACTCAATTTCTGGCCTCAACCGAAAAACTGATTCTATTTGCACTTATCTTAAGCCATCCAAACCTAAACAATGAGCCACAGATACTTGGGTTTAAGCTATTTTTGGCCAATCCATGAAAGCCAGGGTGATTTAGGTTTAAAGGTGTAGTCAAATAGCCGAATTTAAAACACAATGAGCTTTTTTAAAGCCTGGTTTTTTCTGAGCTTTATTTTAAGAAATGAAAAATGCACAGGACAAAAAGTAAGTTAGGGGACATTGTACTGTGGGCCGTGGGAGGGCATTATTTAAAGTACAGATTATTAATGATAAAGAGGATGTAATCTTTACAAACCAGTTTCAGCCTAATGATGGTATAAATGAAATATATTCAAAGGAAAAGTACTCAGTATTTTTTTCTCTTTAGGTAAAATCCGTAATTGTTATGGATCAGTTATGTTTTGGTTTCATTAAACACAATCATTTAAGGATATTCCTTGGATATGTATGAGGCAGAGTGACCCTGCAGATAGTGGAATGAGCATCCAGAATTTTTTGTAAATTTTCATTTTTATGTATTTAAGTAGTCATACTTGTCAAGGAAATTTTTTAATAAAACAATCAATTCTAGGTAGCATATACCTTTTTTAAGATCTATCAAAAATTCATTACTAGTTTCTCTGATAAAGGCCTCATTTCTCAAATATATGGGGAACCAAATCATACAAATAAAAGTCATTGAACAAGCACTTTTCAGAAGCAGAAATCAAAGATATCAATAGTCATGTGAAAACATGCTCTAAATCACTTTTGATTAGAGAAAGTCACGTTATAACAACTATGAGATACTACCTCATACCTATCAGATTGGCTAATATAACAAAAAAAGAAAAATGACAAATGCCGGAGCAGATACAGAAAAACTGGGACACTAATGCATTGTTGATGGAATTGTGAACTGGGTCCAACCATTCTGGAGAACAATTTGGAACTATGCCCAAAGGGCTATAAAACTGTCTATCTTTTGGCCCAGCAACATCACTACTAGATCAGTATCCCAAGTAGATCAAGAGAAAAGGACCTATAGGTACAAAAATATTTGTAGCAGCTTTTTGTGGTGCCAAAGAATTGGACATTGAGAGGGTGTCCATCGATTGGAGAATGGTGACCAAGTTGTAGCATATGATTATGATGGAATACTACTGTGCTGTAAGAAATTATGAGGGAGATAACTTCAGAAAAACACGGGAAGACAGGTGAAGTGAGCAGAACTAGGAGAACACTGCACACAGTAATAGCAATTTTGTAATGATCTGAGCAAGATTTAGCTATTTTGATTAATACAATGATCAAAGACTAAAGGACTCGTGATGAAAAATATTGTCCATCTCCAGAGAGAGAACTGATGGAATCTGAATGCAAATTGAAGTCTAATTTTTTCACTTTTTTTTTTTTTGCCATATGACTAATATGGAAATGTTTTACATGACTTTACATGTATAATTGATATATTGCTGGCTTTCTCAGTGAATGGAGAAGGGATTGGGGGGTTTGAAAATTTGGAACTCAAAATTTTTAAATGAATGTTAATGTTTAAAAATGAATGTTAAAAATAACAGTTATTGAGGCATCTAGACCCTGAAGTCAGGAGGACCCGAGTTCAAATGCGGCCTCAGCCCAAACACTTGACACTTACTAGCTGTGTGACCCTAAGCAAGTCAATTAACCCCAATTGCCAAAAAAAAAATAAATAACAGTTATTTTAAAAAGATAGCCAAGGGGGCAGCTAGGTGGCGCAGTGGATAGAGCACTGGCCCTGGATTCAGGAAGACCTGAGTTCAAATTTGGCCTCAGACACGTAACTCTTACTAGCTGTGTGACCCTGGGCAAGTCACCTAACCCCATTGCCTAGCGAAAATCAAAACAAAAAAAAAAAAAAAATAAGCAAAAAAGATAGCCAAGTCTAGAGAGGCAGCCTGACAATACATACAGGAACAACCAGCTTTGTTGTTAGAAAGATATGGTTCAAATCTTGTCTGACAAATACTAACACAATGAATCTCTCAATGGCCCAGGTGACGTTTTAAGTTTGTAAGTTATAATGTGATGATCTGCATTGCGGCCCTAGCTGTTTTTACCTATATATTTTCAAATTTGCTAACAAATAGCAAGGAGAATTATATCCTGCCTTTTCCACTTCCTATATCCAAATCAAGAACCTAGAACAAGGAGCACAAAATGAAGTTGTAAATTCCTGGACATACTTCAGTATGTCATTGTACACACTTCTGGTGAGTATTCTAACTGAAACTGGAATCTGGAATCAGGGCTGAAAAGGTGCCAGCCTTGGGCATAGCCTTGGGCTCATTGGAGTCGTATGACTAGCAGCAACCATGGGAGTAGTAAAGCCTTGTCAAGCAACAGCCTTCTCAGATAAAGAAGAAACAATAAATATCCAACAGAAACTGCACACAACCCCCAAGTCTACAGAGACTGTGCATCACTAATGACCAGTGGGAGCAATGTGAGATCACCAGAAGACAACTCAGCCCTACAGTGCTAATGGCATACTTTCCCCACCGTTCTAACCATATATCCTGGCCATACTTGTTCCTTTTGTGTATATACTCTTTCCATTGATCATATGTATGTTTGTGGGGAAGTGTTTCCCAGGCTTGGGGGTAGGGATGGGGGAATAAGGGGCATAAGATTGATGTTTATTTTTTTCTTAATATGTTATTTCATTAAAAGCCTTGCTTTGGGAAGGAGAAAGGGAATAAGCATTTATATAATGCATGCTATGTTACAAATATCTCAAACCTGCAAGGTAGGTGCTGTCATCCCCATTTTACAGTTGGAAAAACTTAGGGAAACAGATTAAGTGACTTGCTTGATTGAAAATTGATTTGATTGAAATTTGATTGAAAATTGATAGTATTGATAACTCCTAATACTAAACTCATGAATGGAGTTCCTGAGTTGTGGTTTTTTAAGTAGATGCAGTCCCAATGAGTGCCTTCAAACTTGGGCACCTTATTTGGGTGACCTCTGACTTGGGGGCAGTGAGGGTACGTGAGGTTTCCTCCCTTGGCATTTAGCATCATTCATGTAGGACTAGAGAAGGAAATGGTGAGAGAGGTTTGTAGTCTTTTTTTTTTTTTTTTTTGGCTAGGCAGTGGGGTTAAGTGATTGGCCCAGGGTCACACAGCTAATAAGTGTTAGTGTCTGAGGCTGGATTTGAACTCAGGTCCTCCTGAATCCAGGGCCGGTGCTCTATCCACTGCACCACCTAGCTGCCCCTGATGAGACAGATTTGGGGGCCTACCTGAGCAGTATGTGATAAGGCAGGGCAAGGGGTATGGAGATGGGATTCAAGGGTAGAGGATAATTTAAAGTTGAATGGGTTCACTATAGGTTCAGGTTTACAAAGTAAATAAAGTAAGACCTGAGAGTGATGAACGAGGAGGAATGGAAAAAAATACATTGTTTGGAATCGAGGTCAGACAGTTGTGGGTGTTGCTGAGATTGAGCATAAAATTATCCTGTCGTGTGGAATGGATTCTCAGTACAGACTGTGAGAGTTGATGTTGATGAGCTGGGACACTAAGATGTTTTAGGAAACAGTAACCAGCATATTGAAATCCTCAAATATGAGGGCAGATCTTTCTGTGGTGGCAAAGAATTGGAAACTGAGGGAATGCCCATCAATTGGAGAATGGCTGAACAA